GCTCGTCCTTGCGGTTTATTGCGAGCTGGTGTTCATGCAACCTCGTGCCAAGTCGTTTGCCCGTTTCACCGACATACCTTGTATCACAATCTTGGCAAGGGATGCTGTAGACCAAAGCTGATTGTTCGGTAACTGGTAGCGGATCTTTAGGCTTCCTCTTCCGGAAATGATGAGCACAATTTTTATATGGACCCCGAATATTTGCGCATATTAATTTCATTGTCTATGTTTAAGAGGTAATAGCATAGTATATACATCATTAAGCTTTTTGAAACCTTGTCACAGGCGCATTTTCCAAGGAAGTGTACTCCTAAGCCCTTGTAGTTTTTGTTCGTAGAAAAGTAGGTTATAAATGGTAAAATATGCGGATGTGAGTAATGATCTGGACGGGGAACTCAGGTTTTTGGATAAGTTAAAATGCTCCTAGTTCCAAGGAGTCTACCGTTTTTTGTTCGGTTGGACTTTGGTCTTGGTTGCTACAGGTTGCCGAAGCTATATCTCACGGAAATCGATTCAACCAAACTTGCTTTCGGAATTTCATCCAAATGAACACATGAGTACAACAGATGCTGTCTATGTGCTACTATAAGAAGAAATTAAGTTCTTTTCCTGGGCTAGAAGAGCATGTTCACCACACGAGGCGCCATTTCTGTTGACTTTATCAGTTTGATTTCTATCCTCAATACCTCCTATTTTAATTCCTTCTTGAAAGAAACTTCTTCTTTCGTAGGGGCTGATCCCAACAGAAAGGATGTTGAGGGGCTAAGTGCGGAAGCAATCGCAAAGATCTACGACTTCAAGGGCTTCGCTGATGATCTCTTTGTTCGACGCTGGTATTTGAGGGCCGAAGCCATGATACCCGAGCATCTTAATCCGCCCATGATGGCTTTTCAGATGTACGATTCGAAATACCCAACCTGGTTCTATGGAGACTACGGTCAGCTTTATCTTCAGGTATGGGTTTAATTTGCCTATCAATTTGTTAAATTTATTCGTACATGGGCAAGACCCTCCTCCTTCTTCATCATCTTTAAAGGTATTAAGTAACTAAGGATATTGGTCAATTATAGTAGTCAAGTTTATTGAAGTAAAACAAAAACCGTATCGTTTTTTTGTTTGCAAACGGTATAAACTGTGATCTACGTTCCTTGAGAAAGAAACTGCACATTATTCTTGATTTGAAGTGAGAGCAGCATGCTCTCATTGCAAAAAAGAAAATCAACTCTTTGCTCTTGCTTTCCAAACTTTTGTGAACACGGCTTGTAGAGTACATTCGAAAATGATTTCTCAAGGCAAGCGCTACACAGTAATTTGGAAGTCAGGGAAAATGCCTGTTTACACCAGCACCACAAATTAGCATTCCATAGTCAGCTGTAAATATTTTTACCCTAAAAGACGGTAGTAAACAATAGGTAATCCGAATAGAAGCGAATATTGGTGCCCCAGGTTCTTGTTGTAAAGAAGAGGAAGACGCGATCTCTGGAACGACAGTTTTATTCTGAGCATGCAGGCTGCCACGTCAGGGTCACATGCCGTAACTCGAAGGCACGCGTAGGAGACACAGGATAAGATAACGTGAGAATGGACGTGGCGTGGGCATGGACCAATCACAAATTGCCACCCCCCCCCCTACCAACCCTATTGACGCGTAGCCAACGCTTGCTGTTTTCTCATTTTCACTGACGATGGCTTCTCGTGTGGAAAGCTCAGAATAAAACTGTCGTCCCAGAGATCGCGTTTTCCTCGTCTTTGCAATAGGTAGTCCTATCTCAAAACTAAAGCTTCTGCGAGGAATATTTAAACTTTAACAGCTCCCTCCCCTCACCAGCACAAACTATCGCCGCAGGAGTCACGTCACCATAACCTTCCCACCTAGTTCATTGTAACCCTTTGCCCCCAGAACCTCTAGTGCGACATTCCCAGCCCTCACTTTTCATTTAGTCTGACGACGAACAGGTGAAACCTGTTCGATTATTCACGAGTACAGCTCCATTTTCCGAAGACCTTCTTTATTTTCATCATATCATCTCGGAAGGCAACTTAGTTTACTTATCCAACATATTTAAAATTTTATTTCCATCGCATTTTTTTCACTTCAAACACTTCCAGAAACTGGCACCGGCTGGTGAGTTCCTTGGAACCGGCCTCTCAGCCCCCCGAGCCAAGAAGACACCGGTAGAAGATTGCACTTAGAATTGTCCAGCTCTTCGCTCGATTTATCTTTCTCCCTTTCCAGTCACCTAACCTGTCTCCTTTTGAAATTGGACTTTGTCCTGAATAAAAATGCCCAATATTTGTTCTCATTTTTACTTTTTAAGAAAATTTTTGGCCACTTATGAGATGGGTGCTTTTTAGGAGTTCGATAAAATGTTTACCACTGCAGTCTGTCACTGTACTTTTTCTAAAAAGCTTGGGTTTCATAAGTGAAAATGGGTAAAGATCCCTTATAAACAACGCCGTTATTAAGTATACACAACTGACAAATTGTTTCGTAGTAGTTTATCATTTAATTTACTTTAGCTTGTAGTTTTCTATTTAGTTTTATCAGTGTCAATTTAGTTTATTGTAGTTTTTAGTTCAGTTAATTTAATTTAAGTTTAGTTAATTTCGTTTAGTTTAGTTTAGAGATCATGCTAGTGCTCACCGAAATAAGTTTTTGTATTTGCTGACGTTTGGGATAGCTGCACTGGCTGTCTTTTCTCAAAGCGATCAGCGAACACGAAAACTCATTCCTGTGAACACTAACAGGGTCCCATGCAGGGTTCAACAAGCTGAAAGCAAACGCGGTGACTTGCACGTTAGTTAGTTTAAGTAGACTTGTGCAGCATCTACCACACTGCCTCGTTCCTCATCCGCCTGTCTAGAAAATCGAAGGCTGGCTCAGGCACAAGTGTGGCACGCACTACGGATGTAACATCATTTGGAAAGTTGCTTCTTTTTAGCTTCAAGTTTTATCATATAAAGCCACTTTTTCGTAGGATGGAAGAGGGAGCGACTGCGAAGTAAGGGATCCTCGAGAATATTTAGTGTCTTCTTCTAAGCGACGCCAGACTCAGAAATGTATGATAAAGGTGGGAACATTTGCAAAAGTTACTCATATTCAAATCACTGTCAAGATGCACATGAAACCTCCGGTCCGCCTGGCATTGGTCATGAGAATAAAACAGATCCCTTTATGTGACCAGGCGTTACTCGAAGACGCGGGAAAGCGATTCGCTGAATGCGTCTGCGGTTGTTGGGTGATTTGGCGCCTGGGTAGGTTGACTCAAGCACTTCACGGCTCAAGTGATTGTCACCCCTGAAACCTGAAAAACTTTAACAACGAATTGCGTACGACATTAATTGCGCATTAATCAAACATTAATATGGTTTCGAATATCCGAACTTGGGCCAGTAGTATAAGTGAAGTAGAACTCGCCATTTTTGTTTATGGAGCGAAACCTGCCCAAAATCTAACTTCTGAAGCATTAAACCACAGTAACAACAGCCGTTATTGAACAGTAGATAATGTTAAATTGCTCTTTTTCTTGCACTTTGCTGAATACACACTGGAACCGTTGTCAAGGCGTTTAATCCTTTCCGGCACAGTGCTCGTCCTGTGAAACGCTCGTCAGCATAATGTGCAGTGAAATGAAACGTTTAGAGGGGACGTACGCTAACAGAACAACGTGGGAATTCCAGTTTTGGCACTTCATTTACATAAACGCACATTAATTTGACCTTGGGCAGGTTGCTCCTAACTTAGTCGACATGGGGCATCACTTTTAGCACAGACGGCCAAAGCATTCAAGTGTCAGTTTTTTATGAACAATTTTTGTCCGTGCGGACTTATAAATTAAAAGAATTTGCATTGGCATTTTATTGTCATTTTCGGTAGGTTTAGAAGAAAACTTGGATGGGTAATGCACTGAAATGTCCTCGACTTAAATTTGAAAAAAGTCAGAATTCCGGGATACGAATACGAGTTCATCTTCTGTTCACCGGAGTAAACTTGTAGATTTGCTGACGCTTCGGACAGCTGGGACAGCTGTCCTTTGTTGAAGCGAATACTGCCTTTATCGATCAGCAAGTTTATAGATGCCGCTGTGTGTGTTAGCCCTGGGCTGATCGATTTTACCTCGGTCGCTGTTTGGCCATGCGTGTGGATTTAGGCTTGGCGTGACGGCAGCTGATGTTCTGTTTCGTCCTCACGGTAGAGGATGCTGGTAATTCTAGTCCCTCTTCCGGTGGTTCCGTCACAGTGCCGTCTTTGTCTGCAAGTCCTGACTTTGGTTTGACCGTGTCTTGTCCTTTACTTACGTAGTGACGTAGGACTTCGAAGGCCGCAGGGAGGTCCAGATGCCTGTTGACAGAGTTGGCGTCTGAGTACCATGACTTAAGCGTCAATCTTTTAGCTTTTTAGGCCCCTCGGCCTACGATTGTCGTGCCTTGGATATCGATTACCAGGATTACCAGCATTCTTTACCGCGAGGATGAAACAGAACACCAACTGCCGTCACGCCAGCCCAAAATCTACACGCATGGCCAAACAGCGACCGAAGAAAAATCGGTCAGCCCAAGGCCAACATGCACTTTAAACTTGCTGATCGA